ATATAGTACACACATGACAAATGAGGTAATAATCAATATTTCAGAATAATTCAAACTCAGATATTGGTGTGTGATATCTGAGTTTTAATTATTTGACTACAAATCTCACCTCATCATTCCTCCCAGTGATTATTTCCAGGATAAACTGAGATGCCCCCAAGCTGGCTTCTTAAAACTGACTAAATATTTAAAAAGAGCCGTTCTCAAAGAGCCATAAATCCCATCACTATTGGGAAGAGCGCTTTAAAACATTGGTGGTGGACAGCGAATGACAGCGAGTTTTACTAATCTTAAGCAAAAGTCTTCCGGATTGTGATTGGCTGTGTCTGTGGTTACGTCATCACAGCAGTAAAGTGGATTTTCACCGGCGACGCCATTAAGCCGGAATGGAGTCTTCAGCAAGCTCCAAGCTCTACTGACGAGGGTTGGGCATGTTTAATTTGTGCGTCGGATCTCATCGCGGATTTTATTAATATAATTAACTGGATTGAGGACGTGAAGTGCAGCTTAAACATCCCAGCTAGATGCGTTTTCTTTAGCGATGCTGGGAACATGTACGGCATTTTGGGCCCTAGCCGTTGAACTTGACCGGTAGCGGTGACCTGATTGACTTTTTTTCTTTCTTTCACGTGTGTAGTTTTTTTTTCTCTCAGGCAACTGGGCGAGATTTAATGTCCGTTTATGGTTGGTATTTGTGTATTTGTAATGTAATTCATTAAGTGGAAAAAGTATCTTTATAAGTTAATCAGTACCAGCAAAAACAGTTTAACCATCCAAGAAAAGAGAGCCGGCTGTTCGCGAAAGTTCTTTTGTAACTTCCGTCTAGGTCTCAAAGTCCCTAATTGATATCTGTATTGCAGACTCGTTTCTGATGTTTTTAGGCCAGTGATGCGATAGTGTTACAGCATTAACTCTTAGTTTTCGCCTGGCGTAAACCGCGAATGAATGAAAGCTAGCGCACACAGACAGTAGGTCCTGATCCAGGTCCGGGGGGCATCTTTCCCGTTCAAGTCCGTGTTGTCAGATACTTACTTCTTCTCACCCGTGGAAGTCATGCTGCTCCTCCATAACGAGGTGTGGAGATCCTGCCTGGACTACCTCTCCAGACCCTGTACTGTGGTGGTCGGCGCAGTCTCTGCCGCAGTTTATTACCTTTGGCGCTGTGAGGGCCAGGTTAGTCCTCTTTAGGTGATTTAAGTTGCTGCTTGTCCTTGCTGTTATATCCAAATAGATCGAGGCTTATACCTTATGTACTGTACTCACTTTGTGCCTTAGTCAACTTAAAAAAAACATATGTGTTATTAGGGTTGCAAAGGGCTGGAAAATTTCTGGAAATTTTCCTGAAACTTTCCGTTCCATGGGAAGTTAAGCTGGGGAATTTTGGAAATATTCCACATTAGAAACTTTCCATGGGAATTAACGGGAAAGTATGGGAATTAACAAGAATATTCCTAGAATTTTGCAACCCTATGTGTTATATTCAGTTCAGTTTTTATCCAGTGTGATATACATCTGAGAAAGCAGCTTTAGGCAGTCCCTGGAACAATTGGAGGGATATGGGCCTTGCTTAAGGACCCAACTGTGAAGTCACTTTCAGCTCTAATCTGCAGAGCCAGTTGTAGTTCTCATGGTAGTTTTGTTTAGTTAGAACAGAGATCATTTTGCTGTCATTTAACCATGTGAATTATTTTGGGAAATGAAATCGGGTGTCAGATATGTGTACAGGATTTGGTTGTTTTTAATGCATTGCTGTAGTCTGTTTGGAATTTTTTTTTTAAAACTATCCAGGCAAAGCTTTCAAATGAACCAGTGACTATTTAGTGTTCTTGTCTCTGCTGGTTATCTGAACTTTGGTTCTTCAGCTGTTGTGCATGTGCTTCCTCAGCCTAAACTGCTGCTGATGGTGTGTTTGGTGCTGTGCGGAACGGTTAAATGGGGGGGGAGCTTAGTCCTTGTTGTCTTTGTCTTCTCACCCCGCCCACGGCCTCATCTCTCCCTGCAGATGCCCCTCTTGGTGTGTGGCGGTGGCTTCCGTGTCTTCCTGGAGCGTTACTGCCCTGTGGTGACCGAGAGGTTCTGTCCCACGCCCTGGTGCTGGGGGGGGCGGCTGCAAACCCTGGTTCGCGTGCTTATCAAGTCAAGCCCATCGGTCTCCTACCGAAAGTAAGTACAGCCTCCTGCAGTGTAATGGGCCAGTGTAGAAGCTACATTAATCTGTGCCGATTCATACATCTTCCTTACCTGCTTATCCGACTCAGGGTCTTGGTGAGCCTGGATTCTATCCCAGGAATGACAGGCCACCGGGAAGGGGACACGCTGGATGCAAGTCCTCACAGGACACACACATGCACACAACATATCTACACTTTAGAGACACTAGTTTACCTAAGTCTCTAGATGTTTCTGCAATATGATGTGATCAGTACCCACACTCCCTGGCATGACTTAAGTAGAATATTGGTCAAGGAAGGATAACGGTATGTAAGGGGAAAAGATGAGCTTCCAAAAAAGCGAAATTAGCACAGGCTCGTTGTCTGTGAGTTTTTGGTGCTGAACTCGATATTTGCCCGTGTTCCTAGTGAGCTGATTCGAACAGACGATGGAGGTCAGATCTCCCTGGACTGGGTGGACAATGACAGTGGCAGCACATACCCAGATCGTTCCACTCGACCCACGGTGCTGATTTTGCCGGGACTGACTGGGAACAGTAAGCAGACCTACGTCTTGCATGCCGTGTGCCAGGCCACGCGCCGTGGCTACAGGTGAGAAGCAGATCCTCCACTTCTTGCCGCCTCTCTGATGATGGGGTCTTGCTTGCCTGCTTCGGGCTCTGCTCAGGATGGGCACTTGGGTCCTCGGTGGCTAACGGCTTGTCTCTACTGTCCCTGTGCCTCTTTCTCCCCTTTTATTTTTAGATCTGTTGTCTTTAACAACAGGGGTTTCGGAGGGGAGGAGTTATTGGTGAGTAGTGGGTCAGCATTGGCACCTAGAAATGATTAAACGTCATTGTCACCTTAGCTTAGCTGCGTCGGCCTTAACTTAATCCATATAACACCAGGATCTGATAATGGGATGGCTTTTTGTAATGCAGGACTGTGCAGGGGTAACTGTTGGCCTGGTGTGGTAGTAAGTGGGGCAGTGTGTGGATCAGTGGGTTAGGATGCAGTGTGTGTGATCAGAACGTTGCTGGTTCAAATCCCATAGTCAGCGGGGTGATGTCACTAATATCCTCTTGAGCAAAGCCCTTAACCCCCAGTTGTTCCAGGGACTGGCTGACCCTGCTCTCTCAAAAATGTATATTGCATTTGATTAAAGTGTCTGCTGAATAATAAAATAAAATGTTGCTGTTTATTCTCGAAGAGGGGCCCTGCTACAGAACAATCATGCAGATGGGTAAAACTTGTAAACCACTTTGGTTGACATTTTTTATCCAATTAGCCTGAAGGGACCCTGTGACGGTTATGTGTGTCCCGCCGTAACCCCTGTGTGTCTCCCCTCCCTGGTCCTAGACTCCCATCACCTTCTCTGCAGCGGACACGTCAGATTTGGAACATGTGATCTGCCACGTGAAGAAACTCATCCCCCAGGCGCCGCTGCTCGGGATGGGAGTGTCCCTGGGGGGGTGAGCGCACATGTGCACGCCTTCAAATACACCTTGACAAATGGGGAGGAGCCCCATCCGACACACCAATCAAAACTCCAATCCTAACAAAAAGTTTGAACTGTACCAGAAATCGAATTGGTATTGATTTTATGTTATATTACCCTCAACGTCGGTAATGATGTAAAACGTGTTAGCAGAGTATACTGACACAGCGGGGGAAACTGCGTGCAGATCAGATGGTGAGATGTATCGGAGTGGAGCCTGGTTCGTCTAAGCCCTCTCTGGTGTTCCAGGATTCTGCTGTTGAACTACATGGCCCGCAAGGGGAGCGAAGCGGACATCCAGGCTGGCATCACCATGTCAGTCAGCTGGGACACCTTGGAGTCCTGCGCCTCCCTGGAGCAGCCGATCAACAGGCTCCTCTTCAACCGCCACCTGGCTGGGAACCTGTGTAGGACCATCAAGAGGTCAGCCTATTCTGCACAGCACCCCCCCATGCCCATGTTAGGGGCACACGCATGAAACGTTAGCTTTGCTGGTAAAAGCAGCTCCACTAAAGTGTGACGTCTTTCCAGGCACCAGAAGATTCTTCAGTCTGTGGTGGATGTGGACTATGTGATGAAGGTAGGCCTTAGAATTCCACGATTGGTTCCTGTGCCTGTTTCGCCACCAGGGGGTGCTATCCTAGGTGCTGGGGTTCAGCAGGTTCTCAGGAAACACTATCTCCCGATTTGTGTCTGTTTCTCTTCGCCCCCTGCTTCCCAGGCCCGTACCATCCGGGAATTTGATGAACGGTACACATCAGTGATTTTTGGCTACAAGTCGTGCCTGGATTACTACAGGGACGTTAGTCCTGGGTACAAGCTGCCCCAGACCGCTGTTCCTGTGCTGTGCCTTAATGCCGCTGATGACCCCTTCTCTCCGAAACACGGTAAAGTATCACAGAGCAAACGCATCCTTGTTTTCTGCTAGTTGCTGGTTCGAGGCCCTGGAGGGCCTTGCTCCAGTGCTTAAGGGGATGTGTGACTTACGAAAAGCCAGTCATTATGTTAATGTTCCATAGTCATGTTTTTGCACAGTTTGTCTGACATCTAACTGCCCTGTGCTTCTGCAGCTCTCCCTCTGGCCTTGGCTCAGCGCTTGCCCAACGTTGCCCTGTTGGTAACCACTCACGGGGGTCACATTGGCTTCCTGGAAGGGCTCTTCCCTCGAGGAGAAGGTTACATGGACCGCCTCTTTGGTCAGTTCATTCAGGCGGTATTCGAACACCCAGAGGATCTCAAGGAGGCCTGTGCCATTAGAGACGACCTAACTTACTGACAGCTTCCTGTGTAAGCAGCAGCCCTGCCCATGTAACCTCCATTTCACTTCCGCTGTAAACGAGTCACCTCATCTCTCACTGACTGCTAATCTATACCTCAGACTCCTGGCAGAAAAAAAATAGCCTGTTTCCAGGTAGTTAAAACAACATAGACTAACGCCTTTATTTGTACTGTGGAGCCGAACGTGACTTTTCAGAGTCACACAGCAGCCTTATGTGGCAAATATCGTGGTTTTTATACACCTGGGCTGTAACACGCACGTCTGAAATTTTCACGTTTACTAATGGTGCTCCAGCTGCAGAAAGAAGCATTTACATATCAAAACCATCTCATCCATCCATTCAGGCATCAGCCAGAATAGGTCCATAACAAAAATCAAGCATTATCCTATGTGGTTAGTATTTATCTGGAAAAAGCTACCTCATCCCTCTTCTGCTGCATCTCAAACCATCACAACTGCTGGCCCATAATCAGCGTCATCCTCAAATTAGTACTAGTAGATGTGCAATTAATCATTTAAAAACCTTAGGATGGCCAGGCAGTCATAGCATCATGTACCGTAACTTTTGGTGGTGTTCAACTCCAGTTTTAGTTCCAGCTAACTTAAGTCAGGCTGAAGTCACTGCTTGAAATCACTCCTGGTTCTTCTGCTTAGTGGTCTAATGTATCGGTTTTGATGTGTTTTGCCGATAAATCTCATAGAATGTGGTTGTTAAAATGAGTTTCTTCATTGATAGATTAAAAAAAATGAAGAAACCTACTGTGATCAAGGGAGCAATTTCTATATACTTTCTATATGCTTATTCGCATATACATGCGCACACAGAATACTGTGTTGTAGTACTAGACAGTCAAAGAATATGTTTAAATGATCTTAAGTCTGGTGTGAAATGTTTATCGCTGTCATAGTGTCAGCTTTGCCCTTTCAAAACCTCCCAAAGTATCCCCAGTTTTGGCAGCAACCACCCAGTACGCTCGTGCACGCTGGACACCCAGTACGCTCGTGCACGCTGGACACCCAGTACGCTCGTGCACGCTGGACACCCAGTACGCCACGTTTCACTAATCAATACCTCATTGAGTTATTTAACTAAGTACCTTGAGTACGTGATCTTGTAATGAAATTTAACAAATACATTGGATGGCTGTGGTGCACTGAGGGGAGGTTTGGGAGCTGAAGCGGTGTTCATCTAGTCATCCAACAGGATATCAGTAAATTTTTGTAGAAAAGAAATTCCTGCTAGTTTTTGTATTCTTAATTTGCATATGTTCTCATTTTTAAATTGCTGCTTCTGAGCAAATAAGATAAACAGCTTTAAACATTTCCTTTGACTGCCTAAGACTTTTGCACAGTACTGTACCCTATCAAATCAAAATCAATCTTGGGCTGTACCCGCAAGGTTCTGCCATTTGTACCCCAGAGTCCATTTTGGTACCTCAAAGGGTCTGTTTTTGTGCCATTGGGGGGTACATTGTAGTTAGTACCTGGCAGAACAAAACTGTACCATCCTTTTAGTCTGACTTTGTTTATAATATACACACGCATTGGGAATGATTCGTATTTCCATTCCTCTTTTCCCCTTGTCTTTCGACTGCTTTGATGTAAATCTGCTTTGATAAATCGACAGGTGTTTTATCTCATTGAGAATAGCCATGATCATCTTCACATCAGTATCTTTTACTACTTGTTGATTGTTACCTAGACTATGTGCTGCTAATATATTGCTGGAAAAACACCTAGTTCCGCCACAATCTAGGGATTTATAGCTTTAAATGAACCAGATAAAATGGCGTTGCGCATGTCTGCTGTACACCTGTGGCTTATGGGACTGATCTTAAACCGTATTTGGGTTTGAGTAGCATTGTTCCTTGGGTGGAACTCGGGACGCTTCAACGCACAGGGTTTCCCCAGGCTGAAGCCCAGGGGCACCTGCTAAGAAGGGTCCTCAGCTGACCTTGTTTAATAACATTTAAAACCTACCCATCCCATATTGAAAATGAAAATGCTATGTCTTGCAATGAATCAATATGGGAGACACTGTACGAGTTGGGGGAGGGGGGGTGGGGAGGATTGGTTGCATGGTCCAGATTAAATTGTACGTAATATAGTGAAGAGCAGGGGAGCATGTGACTATGTTAATGCCCCTCTTGTGAGACTGCAGATTTTTAAGAGTAACACATCATTAGACTAGAGAAAACTTGTCTTATAAGAAGAGTTTAAGTAAACTTTCCTTTCAGACTTGTCCTTCAGTAATAAACCACTCCAGGAAAACTAAACTGATATGTTCCTGCTTCACCTGTATCTTGCCGCTGTGGCCAGTCGCATTTTTTCTGTTATCTGAGTGAATCCGCTGCCCCCGTATGGACTCCGCATGTATTCACACCCATGTCGCTATGTGTGCGTGTAAACGGGGCACCATCTGTGTATTTACCGAAACACATTTTTAAATGTTCTATGCCTTAAGTTTATTGGGTGATGCCACTATGCCTTTGAGCTGAATGTTATTGCACTGTCTGACAACTGTATTAAGTGTTGCTGGTCTTGTGGCCCTGCTTGTAGGAAATGATTGAATGAACTTTATCATTCCGTTTTAATTATATTTAAAGTAACTTTGTATATACATGCACCTGGAAGCTGATAAAAGGCAGTGTTACGGCATTTGATATCTTCAACATTGATTAAATGTATTGAGTGCAAAAAGTGTGTAATGCTTACCTTAAAGGTTTTTTTATCTAAGAAAATTAGCAGGATGACATTGGAAATGACTGCTCTGTAATAGTGTTGATCTTTTAGTGCTTTGTCAGTCAACGATAAGTGTTGTGGGTGATTGACAGGTTGGGAGAAAGGAAACAGAATGTGTTTTTGCACTGATTTAGAAAGTTTGTTTACGTAATAACGGATATCAAATGTCCATTTGTTTTTTTTTTTGTTTTTTTTTTTTTTTTCCCCCACGTCAACAATTTATATTGACATCAGTTCTGTGCAGAAAAAATGTCTTGTTTTTCAGCATAATGCATTCATTTCATTTTACTATCATGGCATAATTAAAATGTGAATCTTAGCTACTGAACATTTTGTCCGGCTGATAAAGCTGGAATGGATATGACAAATCGCCTAAACGAGTTGAATTAAATCGTACATATTCAGTTTACCGCAATACCTCTGAAAACAATAACTGCCATTGATAGGAAGTGACATGGTTTTACTGAAATCCATTCAATGGGCAGTGGTCACGGTTTCCTGTCCTCTGGCTGGTAGAGTAACCATATCAATGTTTGGCCCTTGAGAAACGGCCTTAACCTCAACTGCTGTAGGGATACTGGCAAACCTTGACCCCATACCTTCCACGCTTGATCATTGCTTTATGCAGTGACATTTTAGTGGTATGTTTTACTCTTAATAGTATGAAGAGTTGCATGAATGTTTTGTGATTTAAGTAGCTGTCATAAGTAACTGAAGGCGTTAAACATAGACGAGACATTCTGGAGAGATGCCATCTGTGATTGCCAGTGGTTTACATTACATTACTATCTAATATTAAATAGTAATATTGTACATTTAGAATCTTATGTCTGACTCATCTTATATGTAAGATCATGTGTTTGGCCTTGAAAAAATATTGACTGATTTTTATTTTTTTTTAATTATTTTTAAAACGTACAATTTTAACTTTTTATCTATTGAATGTGATCTAAGGGCATTGCTGATATTACGGGCATTATCCAACATAACGTTCAGCTAGAAAGAACATTTAAAAAAAAATGTATTTTAGAAAGTGGAGTTGTAAAGTAGAAAGTTGTCACTGACCTGCAGTTTGTGAAAAGGTACTGATTAATATCTGTAACGTGTAACCATTTATAATGGTAAATGGGCAATAATCGCACTTAAAAGGAGCGTTTCTTAACGTCCCCAGACTTGTTTTATTCACCTGAAAGTATCTTATAATGTAATAGCGATTTATTTGCACTTTAATAATAAAAACTAAAAAAAAAAAAACTGGTGTTTTTTTGCTTTAATTTGCTCTCAGCCTTCATGGTCAGTCATTAACATTTGCAGTGTTGGGGTTTGGGGTTTCATTTTCCAGCCACAAGCAATTAGTACCCTTAAGTGATTTTGTGGGTGAGTAGTTTAAAAAAAAAAAAAAAAAAAAAAAACACCCGGCTGGTACCTTTAGGTCATGTTGCCAGTGGAATAAATGTGTATAAATGTTCAAGAAGGAAATTCACTGAAATCCTCTCTGCAACTTCTGATCCAGTGCAGAGTTGCTTGAAGTCTTGTGAATGGGATGCATGGTCATGCAAAGTGGCTGCTTTGGAGATGCCAGTCCAGCTGGCCTTTGGGGAATCAGAGTTTCCGGATGAATCCTCTGATTCCTATGAGGAGCCTCAGTGGGAATCGAGCCACCAAGTGAGTCTGCAGTGCCACTCAATTAACCGCAGTACTGCACCGGGATTATTACGGGGGTGGGGTGATGTTATTTTTATTTTTATTTCCAGATGGCATAAATGATAAATGATAGTGTTCATATTTTCAGCATGCGAGGGTATGACGCATTGGCTGCCTCCCCGCCTGCCCCCTCCCTCCTACCAGCATACTCCTGTCAGCGGGCAATTAGTGGTCCCTTGGAGTATTTATGTGAGGTCAGAAAGCAAAGGCGGTGCCGAGGGAAGGTGAATATTGGGCTTTCCCTTCTTAATCTCCATTTCCTGATATCAGACCGTGTACACCCCCACCCCCCCCCAAACCAGTGGCAGTGTGATGTCAAAGCCAAATGTCTGCCTGAGGGTCATTGACTGATTTTTTTGACTCACTACTTAAGAAAATTTCATCCAGTATACAGCGCTGTGGTTTACATGCATCACAAATTGCATTGGGGTAGCAATCTTTTTTTTTATTATTAAATAAATAATGGCTTAGTACAGTATATGCATTCTTTTACTTTTCTACTACAAGAAAATACCAGCTGTTCCTTTTACTCATAACCTGCACCTAATCCTTCATTTAGATGTTGGTTAACTGGTGAAATTAATTGTTAACCAAAGCAATAAAAAACGCTGGCTGTAGTTGCAAGCTTTTGAAGTCAGAGGTCTTGTGAAAAGGTCTTTGATCTGCCTCCGAAGGAGCAGTAAGAGAGCTGTGTACCAAAACCCAATGGGAATTAACAGGCACATTTAATGAATGCATTAAGTGCTATTCCTAAGCGCACAGTTGATTTGTATGGATTGGAAAGTCTGACTCCTGGTCAGCTTTTCTTTGTAGTTTCTTTACACTTGTGCCATACATAGAGGACACCTGAATCCAGTTTAGCAGTCTTTTTTTTTTTAACATGTCACATCAAGAATCCCACTTGTCCACAAATATAGACTTGCAAAATACAGCTATTACGCAATGACAGGAGCGTCGCCAAATTGCGTTCCCTTTAAGTATGCGGCGGGATGTATGGACACTAAACCCCTCGCTCCGCACTCCGAGGGGCTCAGCAGCATGGAACATCTGGAGCTTGTCCCCTCCCTCCACTTGGAGCTCAGGGGCTGTGGTTAATGTTTCAGGATCCCGCTAGCGTTGCGACGACGTGCATAGAGCACGGATGCCGGCTCACGGCGAGAGGCGATAAGAGTGGAGAGAGTGAGAGAGAGTGAGAGAGAGCGAGAGACAGAGAGATATCATTCAATGTGCCGTGTGTGAGTCATAGGATCGTTTCGTCTGCTTTCACGTCCATCAACCTGCGTCCGGGGCCATTTCATGTAACAGATTTGAAACGATGTCTTGGACTCTTTCTTCGTCCCCTTCTTTTCGACCCTCAACTCAGCCAGGTGAGTAAGATCTACCTTCATTTCTCCCCCTTAAGCAGAAACGCTCAGAAACCTGTAAAGTCCAAAGGTGAGGCTTTCAGGTGAGGTTACGCCACAGGAGTCTGTAGGACATGAATGAACTTCTCTTAGGAATGACATGTTTTTGATTAAAGGTGTCACTTTTCCCAAAAGTCCTTATATAATTTTTGAAAATGATTTTTTCCTCATTTTTGTATGCTTTTAAGTGATAGGTTTTTGTAGTCAGATTTATACTAGATTAATACTATGCGAAGTATGGCCCTGTACGGTTACATTTTGACTTACAAAGACGGCTTGATAACTTTGGGTGATTATTTGTTATGCTGCGTTAATGAGATGGCGGTAGTATGACCTACCGAACCGACAGTCTGCTACCAGTAGTGGCTGCAGAATATTTTGAGTCTGTGGCCGGGGGTAAAAACTTCCGATTGTGGGTGGTGCTGCCGATTAAAAACTTACTGACTGGAAGGGAGGGGTTGGGTGCAGACGATACAACTTATTGAATGGGAGGAATTTGTTTATTACATTTATTGATGTGGGGTGGCAATAGGGATAGGATTTCATCCCCTCCTGTCTGCCTCTGATGTCAGTAGGTACCTTGTAAATGCAGAAAAACTCCTCCTGCCCGGTTAATAATCGCAGTCACGCGGAGAGGTGCGACTCACTGAAAGGTGTCTCGCTAACATGAACGAAAGGAAGCAAAGGCTTACCTTTGGCACCAAGTTCCTGATTTGGATCGAGTCTGTCACCATCTTCTAAGCGTAAAGGGAGACACTCTCTCTGCATGGAGTTTGTCACCTGCCAAGCTTCTGAGATCATGGCTGATGGGATTTTCATCCCCATGGGCATGTGAGGTCACAAGAAGGGCTTAAAACACAAGCTGCTGAGACGAATTTGCAGTGTGGTTTGATTCAGTTAGACAGCATGACAGCAACCAGTGAAACGGTCTTTTTGTCTCTCTACAATGTAATTTTTTCATGTAAATACAAGGCGATGACTTAGAATGTCTTTCTCCAGAGCTATTTGGCTAAAGATTGTATTCTGGAGTGTGTCCAGTATGACTAGAGATGCAAAGATGCCGTGGCTGTAGCCTCAGCAGAAGAATAGCATATTACTGCCCATGCAGCTGGCTGCTTTTCTCTCAGGCCTGCACCCACCTCCATATTCACAGGCTCCTCTGGAGCCATGATCGACATGCATTATTTATTGAGATTTTGCTGAACTTCCCGCTGGGCTCAGCCCTGCAGGCCTGGCCACCCACCTGGGTGTTTGTGAGGAGCCATGGCATTAGCATCGGAATAATATCGTGATGCGAACGGAATGGTGTCGGGATGAAGCCGACCGTCGGTGTGTGCGATCCAGTGACAGCTATGTGATCTGGGCACATAATCTGGATTCACACTTGTGAAATATCCTTTACAGGCCTTGGAATTCTCCCTGAAAATACACCGTGTGACTGGAACCCGCTGGTTGATAGATTCCTTCAGTGAAACCTCAGGTTCTTTCAGTGTCGAGTTCCTTAAGGCAGGTTCCTTAAGATTAAACAGTTTATTGAGACAGAATCAAGGTGTCACAGAAGGATGTTCACACAGGGGCGGTTCAGTGTCTGTCTGTGTCTGTTTGCCCCCACTGAGGGAATCAGGCCCTGTATCTGTGGTCTTCATATAGACTCATGGAGCCAGGTGGACCAACAGCCTTGGTGAGAACGTGTTGCATAAGAGACAAAGAACATGATGTGCAGACAAATGGGTGACAGACGCAAGTAGCGAGGAAAGAACAAAGAAATGTAAAAGCTATAAATGTTAACTAAATGAAAATAAGTCAAATAACTACAAATGAACCGGAGAAATCCCTCATGTCATATGGCTCAAAGATCACCTCCCCCGTGTCTCTCCCCAGGCATGGAGGTCCAGCTGCAGGAACTGAGGCTTCAGCTGGAGAAGCAGTGCTTGCTGAACAAGGAGCTGGAAAATGAGAAGCTGGGGCTGGGTGAGGAGGAGGTGGGGGAGGAGGTCCCCAACAACCACACATGGTGTTATTTTCCTCTCCTCTTCACACCACACTTTCAATATTAAAGAGAGCATTTGGACTCACACTCAAATGTGTTACCATTTTTACATTATCGGTGAAAAATAAGTTGACCGGCATTTTGCCTGAAGACCTACTCTGCCATTTTACACCTACAAGTGTGTCAAAAAATAATATATCAAGCATTTTCAGTATTCTTCCTTTGAGAGTAAAGCTCCTTCTATTCATTCTTTTTTTTCCAAAGACTGAAAAGAGAATTCCAGTGAAAGTTACCTTATTCTTAGTTTGCTTCATTTGTATTTCTTGGGCTGTTACATTTTCTTCAGACTTTCTCTGTCTGGTGTGGCGCAGTGGTGCAGTGGTTAGCACTGTTGAGCACTGTTGCCTCGCACCTCTGGGACGGGGGTTTGACTCTCCACCCTGGCTCCATGTGTGGGGAGTTTGCATGTTCTCCTTGTGTCGTCGTGTGGTTTCTTCTGGTTTTCCCCCACAGTTGAAAAAACATACTAAGGATAATTGGAGATTCCAATTTTTCCTTCTGAGTAAGACTGCCCTGCAGTGGCATCCCATCCTAGGTTGTTCCCTGTTTTGTTCCTGTAGCTTCTGGAAATTCCACATATTTCCTTAGTTTGTTACCAACCGGACCCAGGCTGGTTCAGTAGTTTTGGCGTGACATTGCATCATGTTACATGATGTTGTAGCAGCTGAACCAACCAATACAATTGTTATTCAAAAACTGTCCTTCTCTCCAGAGAGACGTCTGCAAGAAAAGGAGAAGATGTTGAAGGACATGCAGAATCGAATTGATGAACTTGGTAAGAGGTGCATAGTCCTGGTCTGTACCAGACCCGACATATTAAGGGGCCGCTCAGGACTCTGGCTGTGAGGAAGGCTGGCAGTTTGAATCCCGTGGCCTTTCAGCGTAACCCTGATTTCTCAAGGAGAGCTGTATGCTGGCTGACCCTGTGCTATGACTCTGTGCTATGACTCCTAAGCTTGTTCTCCCCTGTATGTGTGTCTGTGTTTCTTGTGGAGAGCAAGATGGGATGGATGAAAAGATGATATCTCCTACCAATGAATAAAATATCACTCATCAGTTTAATATCTCACCAGTGTGGGTGAGATTAGGATCAGAGTAGTTGTGGTGAAGGTCTCTCACCGTCTGGTAAAGACCCTCCACACCATTGCTCCTGCTGGCTGTTTAGATTCTGCTATCACTGCAGTTACATGAGCTTTGCAGGTCCTGATGTGAAGCTGGTCTTTCCACTTTCATGTGCTGGCCTCAGACTACCACCACGGCAGGACTAGCCACGACGGCGAGCCTGAGGTGAGGAAAAGCCGATCTGGCATCATCGTCACTGAGCCCATCCCTGAGGATCTGGACATCGCTGGCTCCAGCGTCAAGACTGTCAGGTACTCCCGATCGGGAGGAGGGGGGTAATTGGAGGATTTTATGAATAATGCACCTCCTCTGTCCTCTACTTAAAGTGTCATACCTAACCTGAAAATTATCTGGTAAAAAACAAATAGCATAAATCCTAATGAAAGAATACCAGTTATGTAGTAATATAAACCAAGTCTAGTGTGTATTTACTTATCAGTTTGACAAGGTTGCAGAAGAATGGGTTACATTTTGGAATCATGCTTAAATTTTCTCATGACTTGGGTGGAATTTGGTTTTATAACCATGATGACTTGGCTGAGTGATTTTGGTGATTCTTGGAAAAATTTATGCTTTTCTGAATTTATCCTTTGGTACCTCAGTAGGTTAGGGGTTTGGGGGTCTGTGTCTTTTAGGGGTGGTGGGTACCTCAGTAGGTTAGGGGTTTGGGGGTCTGTGTCTTTTAGGGGTGGTGGGTACCTCAGTAGGTTTAGGGGTTTGTGGGTCTGTATCTTTTAGGGGTGGTGTGTACCAGTGAATAGAAGTTTAAATCCCAGGGATGGGAGGGTGATTTCACTGTTGGGTACTTGAGCAAGGCCCAGTTGCTCAGGGGACTGGCTGACTTTGCTTTCACCCAAAAAATGTATGTCACTTTGGATAAAACATATTAAATAAAATGTAAATATAGAGCATGGCTTTTGACACTGTAGGTCAGTCATTGTTGGCATTTTTGGTAAGAAAAAATTTATATGAAGTATTTCACATGTGAATGTACTGCACCTGACAGGAGTTTGTAAACGAGACATCAGGTTTTCTTTGAAAGAGTCAGTCAGTACCTTGGTTTGCTAGTGCTGCAATTCACACCACAATAGAGGTGTCCAAGGAGAATTCCATGCACAGGCTATGCACGGTGAATGTGATGACACTGTTTCCCACCGGTGTCTTGGTGGGCTTCCTTCCTCCTCTTCTTGTCTGTTGTTGTCTCTTTAGAGGAACATTTGCTGTATACATCCCAATGTGAACTTATTTACACCATTATTTAAACTACCATTCACTCTATTTGACAAAAAGTAAAGCTGCAGTGGAGCACTAAAAGAATTCTATCTGGTTTATCGAAAAAGTTTAAATATAACCTAAGCTAGCCAATCTTTCTGGCTAGCTTAACAGGGAAATGTTTTGTTTGAGTCCCATTCTATTAAATTAAATGTCCTGACCCTGGTAATGTAAAATCACTTAGTCATTTCCCAGAAATAGCTCAAAGTAAAAAATGAATGCATTTAACAGCAAAAAGCAAGTAAATTAATAAAGAATATAATGAGTGGCTTTGCAGAGACCGCTCTATGCTGTTCCAGTGGAAATAGGAGTATTTAACTGACTCAAGATTTCCTTTTATCTTCATTTAAATCACCCTGTGAAAAGCCTGCATATCTGTATATAACAATCCCCATAACTCGTTTTTCTCAGCAACCCACCATTGACCACGTTCTCCACCGGCCTCTAATCTTCCAGCGAAAGCAACCTCATCGTTAAAGCCATCCAGAAGAGCGACTTCCTGAGCCGCCTGGACGATGAGCAGGTCACCATGATGGTGGACTGTCTGGTGGAGCGGGAGATCAGCCAGGGGGAAGCGATCATCGTAGAAGGAACCGAAGGCGACAGCATGTACATCGTAGCAGGTGGCCGCTCTCTGAATCTTTAATAATGTGGATTAACGTTGTTCAATTTTAAGAGAACCAGATGACAGAAAAGGAGGATGTATCTCAAATCCCTTGTGGCTCCAAGATAAGAACTGCCCTTCTGTGTTGATGCATACGAAGGGCAAGGTTCAAAGGCAGTGAATGCAAACCCCATGCACATGGAGCCAGAAATGATGTTTCCTGTGTCAATCAGAAATGAAAGGATGTTTCTTGATGTTACTCCCAACCTCCTTTGTGCATCAAACTTGAAACCAAGAGCATCAGTCTCTAACGCTTCTGTCCCTGAGATAGAGGGCGAGCTCCGGGTGACTCAGGCCGGACGAGTTCTGCGAACTCTGACGTGTGGGGACGTCTTTGGGGAGCTGGCCATCCTGTATAACTGCAAACGCACGGCATCGGTCAGAGGTGACATCTCGCCCAAATGCACTAGAGGGCGACGCTGCGCCGTGTTTGAACACAAATAGCAGCCTGGCTTTCTACCCAGATGGGTTCTGATTAATTTGGATCATTTTATTCCCCCCCAGCTGTCACAAAAGTCAAACTGTGGTGCATCGAGAGGCAGACTTACCGGACAATCATGACCAACAAGTCCAGGAGGAAACGGGAGCAGGTCATGGGATTCCTAAAGATGTGAGTTTCCCAGTTATCATATTAAGATCAAAGGTCTTCCTTATTGTATACCATTTCTCAACTTTGAGATTAGTCAATGCTATAAACCCTTGAGTGGTTGACTGTAATTTGTGACCTAGTCTCTCTCTCTCTCACACACACACACACACACACACACACAAGTTTGTAATTATATCTTTGTGGGGACTCTCCATTCATTTCTATGGGGAAAACTCTAATCACAACACGACCTACCCAGCCCTAAACTTAACCATAAGTAACAAACAAAATACAAAACTTTTGGTGTTTTTACTTTTTGGTTGCATGCAATCAATATAGTATAAACCTAATACATACACACACACACACACACACACACACATGCACACACATTTGTAGATTGTCCACCACCCAAAACAATTCAGAATATTTGAAAATTGAGCATGATTTTCTGAACATTGAGGATCAAACTATGGCAGTGATCCTCAAGCTTTTTACACCACACACCACCTCAGAATTTATGAGGCTCTCTGTTAACCACCATTATGACTGCTGTCATAAAAGAGATACCTCTGCCTACCATTAGAGGGAGCTCCATAGCTTGATAACCACTGATCAAGGGAAAGCAAGAATTAATAACTGCATAACATCAAAGTAAGAGAGGGACGCTTTTTATGGGCTTATGGATGTCTTCATGCTTATGGTCATAGCTGGTTTAGTATCTGGGTGGATAAGAGTGATCCCTTTGAACGGCCTGTCAGTGTCCTGTTTTTGTTTTATGTGTGTCCTTCGCAGTGCCCGCACCTTGAAGGACCTGAGTGACATGCAGCTCTCTAATATAATAGACTCTATGGAAGAGGTTGGTGGGTTTGCTACATCTGGACAAGGAACGAGAAACTGTGGCGTTTGTCCAACAAACCTTAACTGAAGGGAATGCTAACTGGAGAAAAGCATTATGGGAACATAAATCGTACCATACAAACATGTTACTTGTGTGGCATTGAACTGAACAGGTCTTTTTTGCACTTTCTAGGTCAAATTCCAGAACAATGAAGTGATTGTGCGTGAAGGGACAGAGGGAGACACTTTTTACATCATTCTGAAGGGAGAGGTAGGAGGACACCTCCCCCACCCGCATGTCCCCAAATATGGGGCCTGATCTGTGCCCGCTTGGCCTGATGCCACCCTCCACTGGCGTGCCCACTCTCTGCCACCATTAACACGGACCATGTCTCCGTGTTCCAGGTGCAGGTGACAAAAAACGTGAATGGACAGCAGAAGGAAATCCGGAGGATGGGGCGGGGGGAGCACTTTGGGGAGCTGGCTCTCATCCGGTAAAGCTCCCACCTACTGCACCACAAGGACTCATGCAGCGTATCCATCATCAATAAGGGGCAAGGTCCTGCTGAGCATAGATCAGGGGTCTCAAACTGAAATCGCCTGGGGGCTGCTGGCTGGATATGGGTCATTGAGCCATTTTCTAAGATGAATGAGGGAAGACAGAAAAGAAAAGACGATGTAATGTCAGTTTTTTGGAAAATAAAAAATTGATTTGCTGGCCAATTAAATCCATCTGCCCCATGAGCTGGCACTTTGAGACCTCTGGCTTAGACCCTCCCCCAGGGCTATTCAAATTATGGTCCTCAAGGGCCGAGCAATGCTGTTTTTCCAGCCTTCCTTTACCTGAGAGCCAGTTGTGAAGCCTTTGGCCAATTAGAGCCAGAAATTATTAAGCTAACTACCTGGGAGACTTGAAAACAAGGCCTGGATTTGGAATCGAAGGCCAGATTTGAATAGGGAGGGGCTCTACCCCATAAAACTCAGGGCACACACACAAACATGGGGAGAAAATGCTAAGTCCATGAACAGAGTGAAAGCCATAATCAAACCCGCAACCCTAGAGGTCTGAGGCCATTATGCTGCCCACTTACATTATATAATACTCCTTTTTTGTTTGTGTAACACTTTAAACGTGCCTTTATAACGGCTGTATTATTTACGATAATTAAACAACAAACGAGGCCTTGTTTAAACACCCCATGTTCCTCAAATTCTGCTGTGTTTTCAGTGAAACTTGCAGAACTGCCACATGTACTGCAGTGGGCCAGGTCAGCTGCTACTCCATCGACAAAGAGTGAGTGTCCTCCTCTCGTGATGCTGGGGAAGGCCAGGCAGCCTTGGGAGAACCTGGCTGCTGATTCGTGGGATGCTGTTTTTCAGGGTTTTCGAGGAGACCATACCGCTTGAACACCTCCAGCTTCATGACGAGTGAGTTCCACCGCTGAGTGACGCTTGTTGCTTTGAGACCTGCGCTTGCTTTCTCCTCCCATTTTGCAATCACTGGAGCCACTGGTCCTGTTCTTGCCACTGATTTACTGTTTTTTTTACCTTCTTCTATGTTTTGAACAGCTCAAATGTCTTTGAAGACATAGTAATTCCAGAGAAAAAGAGGTGAGGCCAAAAATATGCAGGCTTTGTGTTATTTTTCTGGTTTGCGCAGTGAAATCCATCAAAGGAGTATGGACTAAATATGCTAACAAAATGCTAATAGCATGAGCATTGCAGTAGGTGATTTAAGTCAAAGCTCTTAAGCTGCTTTTCATCATCAGTGGTAAAGATCCATGCCACTAAGGGTCTGAGATCCACCGTAACTGCTAAGGGATTACAGGCGAATACCGAGCAAATGATTGGAGAGCCATCTGACCCACTGTGTCCCCCCCCCTTGCATATTTCCATTCCCACAGCCAGAGCACCTCTCTGCATTTAAAGGACCTAGTTCCGGTGCTTTACCAGGAAGGGCGATTCCAGGGCGAGCCCGTCACTCTGGGATTGGGCGGATTCGGACGCGTGGAGCTGGTGGGTTCAGGTTCTGGTTGATACTCAGGCCTTCTGATGCAGGGCGTTCTCCAATCGTCAACCACAACAGGTTGAGGAATATTCCTCAATGATGGTCTTCTTATGTTTTCCATCCAATCCTCGGTATTTCTGCTGTCCTCCGTGACCCATCAGTTTGGTTACCTTCCTCACCATTCCTCCATATTCTCCCTTTAAATCACCACTCTCCAAGCTGCTTACGGTTCCAGTGTTTCCTCTTGCAGGTGACGACACTACAGCATGGGAAGTATTACGCCCTCAAGAGGATTAGTAAGAAGCACGTTGTTGCTAAGCGGCAGGAGGACCATGTGAAATTCGAGAAGCAAATACTACAGGACATTCATAGTGACTTCATTGTCAGGTACCTAATCGCCTCATATAATGGAGTAGAGCAGTGTTTCCCAATCCGGTCCTTAGGGACCTACAGAAAGTCCACGTTATGGCTCCTTCATATCGGGAGCTTGGAGGGAGCAAAAACATGGACCGACTGTGGGTCCCCAAGGACCGGATTGGGAAGCATTGGAGTAGAGACATTACTCCAGGTGTTAAGGGCCTTATTTCTGGGCCCAATGGTGGCATCAATCTGCCAGCCGCAGGATTTAAACTGGCGACCTTCTGATCACAAGCACCGTTGTAACATCCCTGCATTGTATTCCGCTTTTGCCCTCCAGACTTTATGCTGGGTTCAAAGACACCCGTTACATCTATATGCTTATGGAGTTTTGCTCCGGAGGGGAGTTGTGGACCAAACTGAAAGAAGTGTAAGTTAACCTGACTGTAGTGACCAGAGGTGGGAAGTTCAGGTTCAGAAAGTGCAAATCCGGACCAATGTTTTATTTCAACCAACCAGTTGAAACAATGTGATTCTTCTGTCTTAAAGGTTCTGATTTATGTAGGAGAAGTAGCCTTTCAGTATCCTGAAGACTTGACAGATGTGCATGAATCTTAGCTATTACTGAATATGCATTGTTATTGTTGTTTCAATGAATATATATATGTGAATGTGATTTTTTTTTATGATAAGCAAAGCGTAACATGTGTTTCTTTGTGGGTGGGGGTCTGTGATGTTTGGCAGTGGTCGGTTTGAGGAGAGCATCGCTGTCTTCTGCACTGCATGTGTTGTTGAGGCGTTTGCCTACCTCCACAAGAGGGGCATCCTGTACCGAGACCTCAAGCCCGAGAACCTGATGCTGGATTCACGTGGATTCGTCAAACTGGTGGGTCAACATATGGCTGAGTGAGGCTTGTCAGCAGAGTGATGTCACCACTGGGCCCTTGAGCAAGGACCTTAACTCCTGATTACTGCAGGAAACCATCGGACCCTGGTCTCTCAAAAAAATGCACATCACTTTAAAGAAAAGCATCTGTCAGTCACCTCTTGTCAAGGCCCCCCATCCATCTGCTACTCATACCATTTTGATTTTATGCATTTCATATTGCATGTTTACCTGAGACTTTTATCCAGAGTAACTTACAGTAGGGAAAAGGATTACAATTTACATGTGCTCCCTGGGATTTGAACCCACAACATCATTACATCATTAGCCCTCAGAGCTACTTGTTGAGCTGCATCCTTTGCGCCTGGGCTCTGTGTCACAGGTGGATTTCGGTTTCGCCAAAGAGCTGACACGAGGGGAGAAGACATACTCATTTTGTGGGACACCAGAGTACATGGCCCCCGAGATCATCCAGAACCAGGGCCACGACTTTGCTGCGGACTTCTGGTCACTGGGCGTCCTGGTGTATGAGCTGCTGGTTGGCAGGTAAACGCAACCCGAGACTCCAGTCCTCAGAGGATATGCAGAAACTGGCCTTTTGTGGGGACACATTTTATTACAATATCACCCAGAAATACTTACTCAGTGCCGGGTCAGAACTGAAGCTACAGCGTTGGAGCTGTGAGCCCACAGTGCTACCCACTGAGCCACTGTGCCTGAAAATAATAATTAATAAAATATTCACAATTCATCAATTCAGCTAAAATAAGGATGGCACATTTTTAAAATTCAGCAGAGAACCATATCCTAACAACAACAATAATAATAGTAATAATAATGTACTGTTATTGTTTTTCTGTCCTATTTACAAATTCGATTTATAGACAGACTTGGGGGACAGATCTTGTGAGTAACCTGGGCACTTTCTGGTAGTTTATGAAACTGAAACAAATCAAAGTAAATGCTACAAAGAAATGGCCAACAGAGGGCATCGCAAAGCAGTAATACTGAGAGAATCAGTTGACCGTTAGAAATGGTAGGAGCAGGTAGATGACGTTCTCCAATGTGCAGCAGTGGTCTGATTGCCGTCATAATCGCCGTCACAATCTCAGAGGTCCTGTACAACACGCAAAGAATGCTGACATCTTAACATTAAACTCTCCATCTCGCACATGGATAAACTGCACACTGCTTTCTCTGAAGTGTATTAAAGCGTTAATGTCTGCTCCTCAGCCCCCCCTTCTCCAGTTCCGACCCACAAAGGATTTATGCGAAGATTTTGGATGGGGTGCTTAAATACCCCCCCTACATGAGTGAAGCCGCCCGCTCCCTGATCAGCAAACTATGCAGGTCAGGGTAACTCCCAAATTTCTGATGCACTCGTTCTTCTGGCATTTTATTTTTTATATGAAACCTTCAGCTGTCTTCTTCAAAAACCTACAGTGGTCTTTAAATTAACACCCATTTTATAACATTCTGTGACGCAGGCCCCGGCCAGGTCAAAGGCTGGGGAATACCAAAAACGGGATCAAAGACGTCCGGAATCACAGGTAACATATTAGGGCTCTCTTGCAAAGGCTGGTCAGTGATGAGCAGAGTGGCCCTTTGTCTGTCTGTGTGTGTGTGCCCGCGTGTGTGTGCCCGCGTGTGTATGCCCGCGTGTGTGTGCCCGCGTGTGTATGCCAATACTTTCGGGGGGCAGTGTGTGACTCAGCAGGCTAAGCCCCTATGTGATCAGAAGGTCACTGGTTTGAGCCCAGCTGTGGCAGAATAGTCACATTTCTGTGGGCTCTGGAGCACGGTCACTAACCCCCAGCCCCCCAGGTGCTGCAAAGCAGCTGCCCCTTCACTGTGACCCCAAACTTGCTCTCACCTCTCTGTGTGTCTCATGGAGAGCAAAATGAGGTAAAGAGAATTTCCCCACAGGGATTAATGAAGTTTCTCTGTTCTGTTCCATGCGGTCCTTCTTCACACAGGTGGTTTGGGAACATTAACTGGCACAAGCTGAGAGTTGGACAGGTGGACGCGCCGACGGTCCGGCTCATGCGCAAGGTACTGCCATCTCTGCAGAATCCCAAAACAGAGTGACCTGTGTGTCTCAGCAAAGCTGCAGCCAGCACTTCAGGGCAGTCATTGTTATGACGGGTGCAGTGTTTCCTGTGGATAAAGAGGTTGGGCGTGGGGGCAGTGTGATGGGGGTGTATTACTTAGAAAATGCAGGTATCAGGACATAGTCGTACATATGTTTTTTTTTATTAATATTGTTTAGTGATGGCATGTTACCTCTCTGTATAAACAAAAACTTAATAATTATATGAATTAATATAGGCTAGTTATTTTTCAGTGGCAGTTATAACTACTTTTATTGTGGTTGCTAAACTAATTCCTCAACACTTTGCTCATCTCCAGTGTTTCATACAACAATGTAACAACAGTCTAACTGCACTGTACACAGCCTAACTGTGTATGTGACTCAGCCTAACTGCACTGTACACAGCCTAACTGTGTATGTGACTCAGCCTAACTGCACTGCACACAGCTTAACTGTGTATGTGACTCAGCCTAACTGCACTGTACACAGCTTAACTGTGTATGTGACTCATACACTCATATTCATGGGTAGACTTTACTGCTTTGCTCCCATTCCCACACGACACCATAACGGTAAAATAATGACATATAAGTGGGTTTCTCTGTGTGTGAATGGGGCATAAGACAGTGAGAGCATACTGCTCTGTTTTCCTACCTCAGATGTTTTTCTTTTCCTGGGAAAATACCAGAGAGAGATGTACTCAGTGGAAACACTGGCGTGAGAGAGAATCAACAGGAAACAGACTATAATTAGTGATACTGCTTCACTCAAGATTAAAGGGGTGCATCCGTCACGTACACAGTTGTACACATACAACATGTAGTGAAATGTAACCCTGGTCACTCTGAGCAGTTGTGCCTGATAAGAGAATAATAAAATATATAAAAATAACAATATAAAATAAAAGATATATGAAATATGTTCATCTGTACATATTCTATGCATAAGTGACATGGTGAAAGTGATTCTGCTGTGCAATATAAGTGCAATGTGCAAGAGACCTGAGAAATGTACCGACAATTTGGACAATATGAACTGTATGAAACAGTGCTCATGGGATTGTGGGCAAACGTACACGGTGTGCACAGTGATGTCAGTGTTACAGTGACCGAAGAGCCACTGTAGAGTCCGATGGGGGACCCAGGGGCACTGAGACTTGTCCTGGTTTAGGAACCTTATGACCTTATGACCACTCATTTTTTCTGGCAGAACTGAGACTTGCTGAGTTCATTGCTTGTCATTTTATAACTGCACAATTTCAGTTAGAGTGATTTGAAACTGCGGCGTGGTGAGCTTCATCTGCCTGCTGCTGTAAAACCACTCCCATCCTGTTTCTCTGCATCCTTCCTGCTGCAGGGTCCCTGCTATATCAACTTTGACCGGTTCCCCTATGACAAAACCCAAGCAGAGGAAGAAACCTCCGGCTGGGATGACAACTTCTGACCTGGTTTCATCAACAGTTTGGAGATCCAGCGACCTAATGGGTTCAGGCTACAGGCAGGTTTTATGTGATGCCTGTGTCACGCAGCCTCGTCCTTCAGCCTAAGTGGACTGTTTAAGTCGTCTGCCCCAACGAATTGAAGTATTTTAACTCTGGATCAAATGAAAATCCCTCCATGATGTTATTTCACACTTTTGTATATCAAAGTACTTGACTCTTTCAGTGTGATAAGTTCAAATCCAAACAAATGAAAGTGCCCCTGAAGACAATCAATTTTCATATATATTTTTTTTAAATGCAAATGCATTTAAGTGTAAAAATGCATAAAAGCACCACATAAATTTGTGTACTGTATCAAGGCTTTTTGACTTTTTCATGAACCTCTATTTAAACTAAAAAAAAAAAAATCACTATAACATTATAACAGCTCTGATGTTGGGGTCGGCACTGACCCATTTTTAAGTTTAAAATGCATAAAAGCACCACATAAATTTGTGTACTGCATCAGGAAAATCTATTTAAAAAATTAATACATAAAAACAAATTTCACTAGGCAAGGCATGCCCAGACAGGTAAGGCTAGATATGACCAATTCAGTTTATTTATTTAATTCACTTGAGGCTTATTTTACCATTATTTTATATTGAAAACCAGAGGTATGCTGACAAAAGAAAGGTCCAGAAAGCCACATCAAAAATATTAAAACCAATCTTTTCATGGATTAGGAAGCCTAACAAGGTAACCAAGAGGTAAGATGATAAATAATTGCTTTGAGGGTGTTTTATGGCTGATTTAAGACACAGGTCGGCACTGACCTGTCTAACATAAGAGCTGTGTACAAAAAGCTAACACGGGACGAAGGTTAAGACATGGGAACAGTTGGCACACAACGAACAAAGTGTTGTTATAGCAACCTTTCCTTGAATTGTAATAACGTAACCAGTATCTTTCAAAGTCCACTTCCACTCTAGATTTTATCTTGAATTTTCTTCTGCTCTGCCAAATGTGTATCCAAGTGGAATTAAGTGTTTTGCAATGCAGCCAATGGCATAAGTTTGGTTTGACCTTTGGAGGGGTTGAGGTCTCCACCCATTTAGAAGGAGACATGATTATTGGGGGGGATTACAACCCCCCATCCCCCCCGTAATTTATGCCCATGATTGTAGCCATACTGAAGTCACGATACAGGCATTGTTCTCCAAACTATTTTTGCCTCAGTTCAAGTAGTACTTTTATTACAAAATCTTGCATATTACAACCTTAGGATTTTCAAAAAAAATAACCAAAATTTAATGAAAAAGTAAGATGTTCTGAGAAATTAAGCTATAATCATGACTGTGAGAGTATCTGTATAATAAATTATTAAATTATCGTTTCGGTCTCCCTTGTGCATACATGAATGAACAATACTATTTCAAATAAAAGCACAAATTAAAACAGGAAAAGCAATGTAATTCTCCCTATTGAGACATAGCTTTATAGGACAGTGTGACCAGCGATTGTGAGGTGAAATCTTAGGTGCCCCACAAGACAAGGTTTACCTCAACTGTTAGCTTTTTAAATCACGAGATCCTCCAATATTAAAGTTTTATTATTTTTTTTTTGGTTTATGTAACTTTCTGTTGCGTGTTGCCTCATGCCCTTAGGGTTGTGGGTTTGAATATGACCTTCATCGTCTTTGATATAACTAAGTTAAAACAAAAAGGCAAAAGCTCTATTAAAAAGTAACACTGTGAAATCAACCTGTATGAAGATGCTATAACTCTTCACAGTGATGGACTGGCAACCCATCCAGTGTGTACCCTTGTCTTAGATTGGGTCTCTAACCTCAATCCATAAAAGATAGATAGATGGATGACTCCCCTTCAAAATAAATGAATGTTCAAGGTTTATTTCTAAGCCCAAACCCTGAAACATTTCTAATCTCTAGTTATGCAGGCTACTTCCATATTTCTTCCAAGAAATACAGTAGCTGTGAAAGTAGCTGTAGTGACAAAAGGGGCTTCCCTAGAGCATGCAGCCTTAAACTGAACAATGACCCCCTTTAACCATCCCAGGTAAGTAAAACAAAAACAAAAACCTGCAGACATGTTGAGTAATCACTAAAAGCACCTCCTTACTGGAGCTGGAAACACACTTCTAACACACTTTTTAGTGTGTTAGAAGTCCTACATCAAGCCCAATTAGTATATTTTTCTGTTGGGTGGTGGGCTCTTTGATGTTTAACACAGGTTTTACATTTATTCGAGTTCTTTGAATTGATTATATATGGAATTACGTTCACTTAAAAATTTTGTTCAGAAAGGACTACACAAGCCCACTCATTAATAAAAGGTGCTAATGATAAAATATGTTTTTTAAAAAACACGATTCTGCAAACAGAAAGCAGTAATTTACACATAGTCAACAGGAGAAGTATGAAATTTGGTCTCAAACCCTCCTAAGGCCAAAATGATGAGGGTGAATTTTAGGTATATTTAGGCTAAGTCTTTAATCATTTGGTGAGAAAAAATTTTACATGTGTACAAATTTCGAAGGGAGAAAACTTGTATCTTACCCTGCCGAAAATCCATATTGCTTAATGACTCTGTGGAAGTGGAAACAAACAATGAAGTCTACCATTGACACCCCCCCCCCTTCCCAGTCGACCTATAACACCTATAACCATCAGGTGTACTCCCAGGCCACTTGGTGACAATGTCTGTGAAATGTCCTTGCTGGTTGCATATCACCTGGAGATTTAGGCCTAGTGCCAAGAAGCCTTTTCAGTAAGTGCAGGTGGGATTCAAGAGGCTGTGAGTATGAATAAGGTTGAGCGTTTTGTCCAATGCACCTAAAATGTCTCAAATGGCATGAAAACCAATTGTAGTGTGGACAGAGCTAGAACTTGTATGTAGGTATGTGCATGATACAATAGAAATGTGATTAAACCATATATAGATTTAGATGCTGGATCCTTACTGAGGCCACGTGCATCACCATCAGTCTGCAGGTCAGCTGATTTGTCAGTTAAAACCTTGCCTTTTAATTCCTTCTTACCTAACTCAACAGAACTTGCTGAATGAAATGGAAAGTGTGGTCCATGCACTTATGGTAGTTTAAGTGAAGAGCAAATATTAATCCAAACAGAAGGCACATAGCCTGGGGTAGGTCATCAAGATCATCCATCACAGCTTTCCCCTCCAATACGATTCCCACAGAGGATGGACAGCAGGAAAGTGGAAGCTGTGGTACATCTTTAAAGCAGAGGATTCCAATCGGCGAATCTCTGTATCCGTCCTTGTCATCAATAGCCTAGACATGACAATATAAGTTAAGTTGTGCAGCATTTTGCATTTTGTACACATTTTATTGTTCATTTTTTACCAAACAAAACAATATCAGAAATAATTTGAGAATATATTTAAAAATTGTGAAATACATGATTGATTATCCATATGCTTGTTAACCAGACACACTCACATGGCTGTTTTAGTCTTATGGATTTCATTGAAAATTACATTACAAATTTGTTTGATTTAGAACAGGAAAATAAATGAAAAAGTGAATAATGAAACATGACGAATAGATGTTACTTACAAAGCAGTCCTTGAAGAAATCAGCTGGATAGTCACCAAGAAGTACTGGAAGCCCCATCAGGACAAGGCACCTGGTTTCAGCAGTATCTGAAGTCTGGATTGCAGTGACAGTAGAGAAAACATTGGAATATTACTGGCAACTGTCACTCCACATAGTCCTCATTTTACAGAACTGTACACTAAGACTGGTAGTTAAATTAACAAACCTTTGTTTGCTGGAGGGGGTGGCATGGTGGTGCAGTAGTTAGCACTGTTTCATCACACCTCTGGGACCAGGGTTTGAACCTCTGCCTGGGTTACATGTGTGTGGAGTTTGCATGTTCTCCCTACAATGTCATGGGTTTTTCTCCAGGTACTCCAGTTCCCCCTCCCCCAGTCCAAAAACATGCTGAGGCTAATTGGAGTTACTGAATTGTGAATGGTGTGTGAGAGTGCCCTGTGATGGGTTGGTGCCCTGTGATGGGTTGGTGCCCTGTGATGGGTTGGTGCCCTGTGATGGGTTGGTGCCCTGTGATGGGTTGGCGCCCTCTCCTGGGTTGTCCCCCACCTTGTGCCTATAGGCTCCAGACCCAGAAGGATAAGCAGTTTGGAAAATGGATGGATGTTTGTCTAAATTCTGTCCCTTCAGGTCTCCTTTTGACCTGAAGATTTCAACAAGTTTAGGGCAATGATGGTCAAGAGACTGATAGAATTCCTTCAAGTTTTTCCTCACCACTCTACTGAATTCATGGTAGACCTGAAACAGAGGTACAAATAAAACATGTTAAAGTTCAACACACTGCCTGCACAGAATGGTAATTTCCATTCACTTGTACCTTTAAAGAGTTGTCTCATCTTATCAAAGCATCAGTGTGGTTGCAGGTTTTCATTCCAAACATGTTCCAGGCATGACTACACTTGTATACCTGCAGCCACATTCATTGTGCAACCAAAAACTTTCCGCCAGTCTTACTGTGACCACTGATGAATATTGATACAAGGCAGTTGGTAGAAGGATACTTAAGGTAGTAAACAGCAAGTGCACAATTATCTTAATTTTAACTTCATTAATTACAATTAATTGCGAACCACATAATCAACGACATATATTGAATTTTTAGATGAAAAAAATTCAAATATAAACATACATGATTACCCGACTTTCTACAATGAGTGTGTAAAATACTTGGCATGGTTCAAGAAACTCGCATAGCTGACATAACTTAACATGAAAACGTGGTTTGGATTGCTTGCGCTGAGTTGGGGAATGAAAATGGGATACGTGAGTTTTAAGAGTTCTGAAGTTCCGGAACGTACACAAACACTTTTGGTATGAACAAGGGAATGGTTCACAATTAGCGTAGCTGCCATACTTCAATCTGTAATGTTTTAATAGCTGCTCTCTTTTGTTACAACTCAATACACAATACTTGCATCTCCAAATCATGTTTGCTTCCCGTCGGTCCTTACGTTTACCAGTGAGCGGGCTGCGAGGCCCTCCTTGTCTTTTGGCAACGTGCGTCATGCTAGAAACTCTTGCAAGGTTTCCAGATCCTGTGATAGAGATAAGCAGCCAGGAATGGCAAGGCTTCTTAACATTTAATCGCCAGACTGGATATGTTTTGCAGATATCTCTCATTCAATTCTTACTAGTCAAAAAAGCATTTCAGATATCCACAATGACATTCTTCCTATCCACAATTGTCATTTCAGATATCCACATCCTCATTCTTCCTAGGAGAAATTACGTCACTTTTGCCATTCATGTCTATTGGGCTTTTAATTTCAGATATCCAGAATGTTCATTCTGGATATCTGCAATTGAATTCTTACTAGGAAAAACTTCCATTTCAGATATCTACTGGTGTAAGGGGCAGCGTGTGGCTAAGCCTGTGTGCTTGTAATTGATTGGTCGCCGGTTCAAATCCAGCCTCAGCACGTCTGCGGGTCCTTGAGCAAGGCCCTTAACCCCCAGCTCCCTGGGTGCTGCCATGAGTGGCTGCCCTTCACGGATGGCTTGCTTACAAAGAGCAAGTGGAGGGACGTGTAGACAAAACAATTTCCCCAAGGGGATTAATAAAAGTGATGATTATGGCCCTTTGACAGGTTTTCGAACTGACCAATAAAATCTCTCCTGGTCAAAACTAATTTGGAATAGGTTTATACAACTGAAAGGCGCCATTTATATTCATGTGGTAACCAAAAATGTGATCTTAACTCAAAATAGTTAAGAGTAATCTGCTGGACATTAAGACATTTATATACAACAGACCTACTTTCTTTGAGTTAAAATAAACTTTGGGATTACAGTGACACTTCAAATGTGGGATTCATTATGAATATCAGTGACATGCACAGACTTTTCAGGCACTTGCTTGTACAGGGGGGCATGGCCGATGGGTGCTTTTTACTTCTGATAATATTTGTATTCGCATGGTGGGGGGGGGGGTAGGGGTGGGATTCAGTGTATGCTGTTTGTTATCATGCAACCTTTTCTGCCGTTAAAATGATGTGCTGGAAGGACTGGCAGTCTTGAGCGTTTCAGGACCAAAGCCAGGCTATGATGGCGTTTGTACTGTAAGGATGCTCTCGATGGTACCTCTCTGATATATAGAGTGTTATTGTCCTTCCAGCTTTTTCTGAGGTCCATAATCATTGCCTTTGTCTTGCCCATGTTGAGCAGCTGGCTGTGGGCCTTGCACTACTCCACCAGCTCTTTGACCTCTTGTCTGCATACAGACTTATTTCCACCACTTATGAGGCCAATTATGGTGGTGTCATCTGTATATTATATGATGTGACTACAGGTAGTCTTGGCAGAACAGTCAGATGTCAAGTGTGATGACTGAGGCAGCAATTCTGGGGAATTCCTGTGCCCTGTCTGAACTGAGGTGATATCCCGTACCCTGATATTCATAACCCTGACAAACTGTGGTATCTCTGTCAGAGAGTCCAAAATCCAGTGGTGGTTTAACTTAGATTACTAAAATTACAATTAGATTAAAATTACAATGGCAAGCTCCCTCCCACCTCATTTTTATTAAGACATTTGGAACATTTTAAACTGATTTTACTAATTGCATTAGTCTACTCAGTGAGTAACCACACCAGAGACTGGGGTTCAAAATCCAGTGTAGACACTGGGATTAGTTCCAGTTGAGATTGGTTGGAACATTGAATGATAGATGGATGAATGACTCCCCTTTAACATAAATTAATGTTTCAAGTTTTTTTCAAATCCAAACCAAGAAAGGCTCCTTATCTCAATTTATGCAGCTACTTCCGTATTTCCTCCAACAAATAATGCCAGTCATAATTTCTCATTAATAATATAGTGTCTTAATGGCATAATACGTAGTGTTAAAATAGCTTCATTTAAAAAAATACTTGTATAGTTATTGTTTTGAAGTAGAAATAAGAATGCTTGTACACAAGTTTCTGTTAGGCTACATTTTTTATTCATATGTGTTTATAATTTTGTCTATATGTATATACACAGGGAAAACAAGGGACCAAAAACCATATTAATGAGCCTCTGCTAATGAATATCCTGTTTTATCATAATGTATTTTAAAATGTCTGGTCTCTGCGAAAATCTAGATGTTCTTGAAAACCCAGTTTTCTCTTTTTCTTTCTCTGTGTTCCCATTACACATAAAATTACAATGGCTAAAGTCATGAGTATGATGAAGGCACTTAAGACTATCGCTGTAATGTGCAGAGCACTTTGAGGAACCACAACAGGTGTTGGCAGGGGTGCAGAATTCGGCACAACACATGTAAGGCTACAAGGAAACAAAAAGACATTTCAAGTGAAAAACATTATCTATAAGTCAAATGTGTCACGAGTAGTGCTGTCAAACGATTAAAATTTTTAATAAGATTAATCACAGGGTTGCTGTGGATTAATTTCGATTAATCACGATTAAATATCATTCATTTTTAATCTATATTAATCGCATTTCATTTTGCATGAGCAAACAGACTCAAGAAAAAAGGGAATATATATGCACTTAACATGTTTACTGAACATCTTGAACACGAATCTGATGCATTCCAGCTGCCACAGAAGTGCAATACCATGAACCCATATCAAAAAGCAAGATTTTTTTGCTTAGCCGGATTTAAGGTACCTCAGTTTAAAAGGTCTTTATCTTCGTTCACTTACAATTACCCCGAACTACCGTAAATCTGACAAATAATCCAACTAATCATGAAATCCAATTCTAGCCCAGTTAATTGCCATTGTTAGCAATATCAGTTGATAACACATTACGCACGGTGCTTTACGCATAAAACTCCGTAGCAACCTGTCCACAGATAAGTTAGACGGTATAGTGTGTGCGACCGATTTAATGAGCCGCAAATAAAGAAGTAGTGCTTAAACAGCATAAAACTATAACTTTCCCTTCTGCTGATAAAGGACACATCCATCTCGGATTATGAACTCGGGATCCTCTGTGCTGCTCCGAGATCAGATCTCTGAGAAACGGGAGCGCGCGTGTCGTTACTTCCGGCTTCAAAACTCCTGGTTGACAGAGACCTTTCAGGGATTTTGAGTCATTCTGCGCTGCAGATGGGTTAATTGCATTAAAAAATTTAATCAGATTAATCATGATGATGAATTAATCTGCGTTAACCCGTTAATTTTGACAGCCCTAGTCACGAGCTTATGGTATTCCGTGCTGAATTAGAATTTGGTGTTCACTGATCATTAGGCATGTAACGATGAATCGCGAATCGGTTAAAAATCGATTTAAATGTATGACGATTAAAACCGACTGATGTGGAAAATGAATCGCTACTTTAGGAGTAACTTCACGGTACTTTAACAGAAAACTGGTGTAATATTACATTTGATTTCACAACGTCAGTTCGACGTCACATGTCACTGCGTATTCACGTCGACGTTGTACGGTAGTTGTTGGTTTTGACTGAACGCGAGATGACGAGCGAATTTCAAATTAAGGACACACCCCCCGATCTTAAATCGGTGGTGTGGCAGGATTTTAGCTTTCCGGTAACCACTAACGAAAATGGCGAGAAAAGCACAGACAAGACAAAAAACTGCGTGCAAACATTGTAAAAGACTGATAACATACACAAATAGCACAACGAACATGCTTCAGCATGTCCACCGGCACCACAGTGAGCTCAATTCACCACAGCCAGAGCGAAAATTATTAAAAGGGCAAACCTCGCTAAAATAGCTGCACATGCATGCATGCCTTAGTTCAGGGGTCATCAACTATATTTGTCAGAGGGCCAGAGTTTTACCAGACAG